CCAATAATCAATTTTGTTGGCACCAATATATTTTCAAAAGGCACATATTTATAAACTATCGAAATATTTATTTTCTAGCTGATAAAAGAAAACAAAATAATTGATGCACTCGAAAATATTGCTTTTTGGGTTCTGGTTAATCATGTAAAGATGATGAAAACACCATATATTCTGCCATATAAGTAACGTCCAACTGCAAAAAAATATAAACTCTAACATACCCTCATATAACGCGCAAACGGATCAGGGTCTATGCGGATTGCCCTATTGAACAAACCTAACAAGCTACATAAACTGCGCATTATGCAAATGTATTTATGAGTATGTCTTGCTTGTAGTTGGATTGGGCTTTTATGCGAGTACATATGGTAATGAAATATTAATCAGGGCTTGGCGACAGTTATGACAATGGTACTAATGAAAAGAAATAAAACAACTGTTTAAACCTCCCTAGAGACTGATAAAAGTTGTTTGAATGTTGTATTGCTTCCACGCGACGAATATCTAAATAGACTGGATTCCATCAGGAGGCCAATGAAAAACGTTGATGAATCATCTGTAAATTATGAATGATTCAATATTTGTACGAACATAAAACATGTCCAGTCTATGAAGATTAATCGTGACTTATATGAAAGCGCATTAACAGGAGGAGTCATCGTGAAAAACGCTCCAGCTTCCTTGCCGCTCATAAAGAGAATATGCGCCTCCAGATCCGTGAGTACAATAACAACTGTACATATTCAAAACCCGACGTCTATCGCTTGACAACTGTAAATAAAACTTTCAAATTTTGAACTATTCGTTCATTACTTCCTTATTATCTTTATAACTGTTTTCACCTTTACTCATAAAAATTGGCACGTGGATTTATCCCGGAAAGAACAGCGCTGCCGTATCAAAATGGGGTCGTTGTGAGCTGGCATTTCACAAACACTCCTGAAAATTGGAATGTGGTGCCCCTCAGGAAGAATTGCTGAGCACTAACAAAACTAGATCACTGTGACACAATCTGCATATATTAGTAAATGCAGTATTTTCAGAATATATTTAGTGCATCCCCAATTCATTCGATCAAATTCCAGCTATACTGATTCAAATTATTACGTGAATGCATGTCGGGATGTGTAATTTTTCATTCGAGAACTAGAACACTGTGAACACAATTTGTTTTTTATATATATATATATATATATATATATATATATATATATATATATATATATATATATATATATATATATATATATATATATATATATATATATATATATATATATATATATATATATATAACGTAGACTCGTACATATTTCAGACAGTGTTTATATATATATATATATATATATATATATATATATATATATATATATATATATATATATATATATATATATATATATATATATATATATATATATATATATATATATATATATATATATATATGTATATATATAAACACTGTTCTGAAACATGTGCGAGTCTACGTTCAAAATCGTCTTTGGCTGAAAACAGTATACAAACAAGAATTACTCCTGCTGAATAAAAGAAAAGTATTTTCACATGATAAGTATACCAAATAAGTAGAATAAACGTACATGAGAATAAAACCAAGTCCAGTATGAGCGACGTTTTTTCAGCACGATTCTGTCTGAAGCACACGTCTGAACGTGGATAGCTGTCTAAAATTGGTATTTGATACACGTGCAGAAGAATTAACTATTCAACTCATTTTATGGACGATTAGATTTTTATTTGCATAAATATTTTGACAAGACCCGGATGTATCATCTGACCGTTCTTTACTTACAGTTCATATAAAGTAGGTAGTACCTACTGCGTGTGCCAATCGAATATGTTGTGACAATGAATGACGTTTTCACTCTGCCTACAGAATATAAATAAACTTTTGAAAATATAAGCCGTTTTGGCCAACACAAAAGAGCAAAGGTTAACTTAACCGAGTTGTTTCATTCCTGCACGTAACGTTTGTTATTATGTATAAACCACATGATCAGATTTTCCAGAATATTTCTCTTGATAAGTGGACCACTTCGGTGGCCTAAGTGATTAGATCAGATGCAGGAGCTCGCTGGTTCTAACCCAGGCTGAATCATGCAAAACTGGTACTAACAACTGCCTCGCTTGGCGCTCAGCATTAGGAGGTTAGTGTTAGGACTGGTCGGCTTGGTGTCCGGATATTGCGACTGTGTGGGACATGATCCACATGTCTGCGGCATGAAGTCACACTGCAAACAACGTAGCGATATGAGTAATAATTATTAAAACTACGTTAAAAATCCAAATCTCTCTCTCTCTCTCTCTCTCTCTCTCTCTCTCTCTCTCTCTCTCTCTCTCTCTCTCTCTCTCTCTCTCTCTCTCTCTCTTATACAAACACACACACACACATACACTCAAACACACACACTCAGTCCCTCTTTATTTAAAATGCGAAATACACGTATATTACTATATATATATATATATATATATATATATATATATATATATATATATATATATATATATATATATAATTATTTCGCGTATTTAATTGGTTTTCAATGAAATCATCACATATCTAATCATTATAAATCTTGAGATTTATTTTTTCTCTCTTATAATTTTCATGTTTTTAAATCTTAAGCATATTAAAACACGAACTAAATTATTTTTTTGTAATCACAGCATTGTAAATCAAGCATACTAAATTTACCAGCTTATTTAGATGCACATGTTCCTATGGAGTGTTTGCAGTTTTGGAAGAAATTTTTAGCGTAACACATTTTCCTTTTATTACAAGAATCAAGGAAAGAATTGTTTTTCCCGTCCTCTTTATTACTAGAAGTGCTGTCTCGCACATAAAGGGGATCAATAATTTTTTGTGCAAACATTTGAGTGAATATTTCTTTGAGCTAACAAAATTAGTGATGTTACAAAAGTGAAGCACTCAACATAAAATATAATATTCAGATTAAAGTTTCAAATTCGATGCTATTATTTTCTGTTTGAAAGATGGGCATTTGATATTTATAATCCCATTTCAACTGTCCGCCACATGTGATTGGTCCCTTTTAAGCTCATTGTATTGAATGGCTATAAGTCAATTTGTGGGAGCTGTGTCAGACTTTTGTAAAATCTCCAAATTTGAGTATGCACTTATCGAAAACATTTATCACCTATGCCCGTCCGTACTTACCTCCATCAATATATGCAGGTATTTTTGCAGGGGGGGGGAGTCAGAACTTTGTGCAAGAGGGGGTGGGGTGTCAGGATTTTTCAGGTGGGGTCAGTCACAGCCAGGAGAGTTAGTATAAGAATCAATCTGAAACTAAAGCTAATATTTATTAAGCCTTTTGAACAGAATATTGTGACATAATTTCAGCTTCATTTGAAAGATTACACTGCGGACGTTCATGCATCAATATGTGTTCTTGTCTACATCTATCATCGAATCAGCATCCTGGCCGTAATTCCAGTCTTAAGCAATGTATATATTGAAAGCAATAAGCAGTGTGGGTATTATTCGGGATAAAGGTCACTGATACCTACTTATGGACTTACGTAGCGTTGCGTACAGAAAAACCAAACTATGTATTCCCCCCCCCAGCAATTAGTGTTAGGACTCGTCGGCCTGGTGTCAGGATAACGTGACTGGGTGGGACATGGTGCTACATGTCTGCGGCATGATGCAACAATGCTTGACATCAATATAAACTGCCACATTGCAGACATGGTAGCGATAGGACTAAAAAATTGATAAAGCTACGTTAAAAATCAAACACACACACACACACACACACACACACACAAACACACAAACACACACAAGCCTTTCGCCCTCAAAGTGTCCTCGCGCGTTAAGAATATTATAGAATATATCTGTAGAGAGAAAGTAATTTTAAAGCGATGGAAGAAAATTTTAAATTCAATGTAATATATAATTTGTTTTAAAGTTTATTTCCAAATGTCGCCATTTTTATTTCCAAATGCTGATCCAAATCGGGCCCCGCATTTGTTAAGGCCGTTAGTGAAATTAGACGCAGCATTATAAAGTGCTTTGCGAACATATTCTACTTGCATTTTCGACTCGAAAATCCATGCCATGTATTCTCTACACTTTCCGACATTAAACTCGGTTTTAGATTTGCAATGGAATCTATACATTGTCGGATATTCAATTGAAAAGTCAATGCAAACTTTAAATATTAGCTGTGTATAATGGATGTCGCTCATGGCAAAGAAAGTTCTGACTATCATAATAATTGTAGTTGAACAGCTACACTGATCATTTCACTAAGATATCGATGTTTCCAGATAACAAAATCTCTTCAATGCGTACATATTATGTTATCTAACCGAACTTTTATCATGGAACCTTGATTCAAATTAGAACTCTTAGTGATATAACTCATAGTTTAGATTCTAGGTTTATATTTTGGATTATATTCACAAACCGTAAGTTCTATTTCATAATTGTACATTGTTTTCCAGGAAATAAATTATTTTGTTAAACTTTACAAAAATGGTTGACTTCACTCTTTTCTTTTGTTGCTTTTGAACTAGCCTAAACGTAACAATATATGTATATGTGTTATGGCATGATTTGGATGTTTAATGTAGCTTTAACAATTTTTCAGTCAAATCGTTACGATGTCTGCAGTGTGAGTATCATGCCGCAGACATGTAGCATTATGTCCCGCGCAGTCATATTATCCTGACACTATTTATGTATGTATGTGTATGTATGTATGTGATGTGATGTGATGAGATTGTGATTTTTAACGTATCTTTAACAATTTTTCAGTCATATTGCTACGATGTCTGCAGTGTGGCAGTTTATAGTGATGTCTAGCACTGGGGCATCATGCCGCAGACATGTAGCATGATGTCCCACCCATTATCTTGACGCCAGGCTGACCAGTCCTAACACTAACTTCTTAATGCTGAGCGCAAAGCGATGCAGCTGTTAGTACCATTTTTGTAAGTCTTTGGTA